TTTAGTTCATATACTATGTCATAGATTATAAATGAGTAAAATATAGCAGCGATGGATGGAAACTAGATTAACTGTGTTGCTTGATATCTTGACTCCAATGTTTTTTTTCTTTCTCCATTCCTAACACAAGAGGGGGGGGTGCTTAATAAACATGTGCTAGAGACCTGAGCACTAGTGTATATAGCATACCGAGGGGCTCCAGCTGAAGCAGTGCTGAAAACACTCGCAGGGAAAAAGGAGATTAGGCTTGGGCAGTTTCAATACTATACAGGGTGTTTTGAAATCCAGATGGTGTGATTTGTAATACCCTTAAAAGATACTCTTCTTTCTATCAAAAGTTATGTGGGTAAGATCTGACTACATGCTCCGAAGAAATAAGAGGCAGTGTTTAACCTCTACTCTGGGTTTAATGAAAAGTGCCTGTAACAAATATACAAACATTTTCTGACGTGCCAGTATCTACCACAGCAACACGTTTCATGTGGAGCCTGTGGAGGAAGGACGTTTATTTCCTGTGCTTTCATCATAATATGGACCATCCAGATTTGAACTAGGTAGACTCTTTTCTTGTCATATACCTGGTGAAATGTCAGGAAACTAGAAAACCATACGGTACTATCCTTTACAGCCGAAACCCCAGAGAGATTCTTTCCACTAGCTACAGTATAACATAACCAATCCTTGTGTACAAGCAAATAAGACAACACCAATGAAAGCTCACTTGCTGAAGTCAGCACCTCCCTGTTTGACTGGTGGGTGTTAATAATCTCCCACTTGGGTGGTAGTGGGCGTGTCAGTGTGTACAACTGACTGTGTGCGCATCCCAAACATCATGACCACCTGCCAGCTGAATGAGTGAAACAAATAAGAGAAGCGGCCACACCTGTTTCCCATAACCCCGGTGCCCCCCTCCTGCGGGAATCGCCTGCCGACTGTGCACACCCTGCGTGTACCCCTCTTTAACATGGACTGTGAAGCCACAGTGTAGCCGAGTGACCTGAACTTCAGGGGAAAATACTGACTCCTGAAAAACAGCATGTATGAAAACGGTTTGAAAAGGTTTTTCTGTGTTCATTCACAGTAGCTAATTAACCATGGAAATATCTGGAAGCCATTTTCCTGTGGAGTTTCCTATGACTCAGTGATTGAAACAGTCCACTCCTGTCTGGCTAAGATGTATGCAGTCGATAAGACATACTAACAGCTAACAAGGTAAGAAATAGCATCCCTAATACAAGTATTTTCTATCTATATATTGTTTTGCATGTTCCCCCTTTTCCTCCTAATTGGCAATAGCTAATTACTGCCGATGTTTGCCCAGAAAGGAAGCACACAAAATAATAATGAAAATAAAATAATGAAAGCCCTGTGATTAGTCGCTAAGCCACACAGTTGGGTTAAAGGTTGCGACTGGCATTTTTCTATATTCCCATAGAACGCCCAAATTCAACAAAGAATTAGTCTGCCTCTTAATGCATGGAAAATTCAATAACCTATCCGTAGCAACATGGCTCACGCCCATTCATTCCTGCGGAAGATGCAAATCTTTAAAAGCGGTCAAACTAATATAAAAAGTTAAATTGCAACAACAACTAAAAATACGTTTCCCCAAAACACTTGGGCACTGGGGTTTACAGCAAACACAAAGAGGACTGAGTGGGCCGTGCATTCGTTGGTGACTATAACCTCCCATTTGGTGAGCGAGCTAGTATTTATGCAGCGTTGAGTCGGAGTGGGATTGACTCAAAATAACTTGGCGAGCTGTTGTTGTCAGTTATTTCGTTTTTGGACAACAATGTCAGAACAAATGAAATCAGGACGTGGCCGTTAAGTCAATTGGGTTGTCTTTTCATGGGACTGCTTGACAATAACAAAACTGAAAGGATATTTCCAGCCTCAACCCACCAGGCAAAATATTTTAAATAGTACAGTACCTGCCATTGGTGAAACTCTTTTTCACCTCAAACAGTATAGCAATTTTTTTTGTTCTTTTCTTCTATGAAACCTCCACTTCCAAACAATCTTTGGGGAGGACAATCCATGCCCAACAGGTCGGTGCATCCTAAATGGACTTGTGAAAAAAGATAGTAATCAACAATTGACACGGCGATGTCTCTGTATTGGTCCGGGGATAAGCTAGGACTGGAAGGGGGGGTGGTGTTACAGCTCTGAATATACTGATGGACCACCAGGAAGCAGCTTGCCACACAAAGCCTCCGACAGTCAGTCACATCTGTCGGAGAAGAGGAAGCAACGGGTGGAGTCAACATAAGCTGGTGGCCACAGCCTGCTCCCTGAACCCCCCCACCCTACACACACATGCACCGCCTCCATGTCCCACAATAAAGCAACTCATCTGCTGATGGCCTTCCTTCAAAAAGAAAACACTGCATGCATTTGATGTGATTAGGAGTTCTCAGTCGGCTGCTTCGCAGCTGAGATTGAAGATGAAACGAGGGGATCAGATGAATGCCACAGCTGGGACTTTAGGACAGATGTAAATCCGTTGCTAAAACCTACTTCAACGCCCTTTCTTGTATATAATTCAGACAGAAAATAACTAGTGTGGATACTTAACACCAGACATTAGAGACATTTCGATGTTTGCGGGCGTGTTTCGGGAGTGGAGCAGAATTTGGTCTACTTTGCAAAGTCATGCTTAATCCTTGTTGGAAGAAGACTGACTGGAAAAATGGTGAAACTATGATGGGAATCAAGTAGAATTAATTGTAACAAAATTCTTCACAGTGTAATAAAAGGCTGTAATTAGTCAGGGAGGAAGTGGACTGGAAGATAAATCTGTTCTAAAATGTTCAGTGTTGGGGGCCACATTCAGTTATCCAATCACCTATGCCAGACAAAGTAACCACAAAACATGAATTGACCAGAAATGTCCCTTGTCATGTGGTGTACACACACATTCATCGATTTGGTTCATATTAGCGATGACAAAACTAATTACGTGGCACCATTTTACTGTCAATTACACACAATCACGTTGATGAGGAAAAAATTTGGTCAGCTTTTTCAAATCTATTTCAGTTTGGAGTCTGTAATTTAAGTGGCTCCATTACAACATTATTTATTTAGATTTTGAATTATGAGGCCCAAAGAGAAGAAACCACAAAACCATGGTCTTCAATTACAAACCTCACCGGCTGTAGCCACGCCTCAAATAAATCCCCTCCTCACAGAGCCGTCGACACTACAGGGAACCTGAAATGGACACAGTCGAAGCGGGTTCCTCTGCCCACTTGTGCTCCGGTAAAAACAAAGCAGTCAGCCTGGGCCACATGGGCTCCACCATATGTTATTGACAGTAAAAAACCTGCCCCGCTTTCTGCTCCAAACACGACACCAAAACTGATCGCCTTTGGCTAGTTTGTCCTCTGTGTTAATAATAAGCTTGTCCAGGTGACTTTTTTAACTGAAAACCTGCGTGGGACACACACACACACACACACACACACACACACACACACACCTTTGCTGCATCAAGTTAGTTTACAACAATGCTTTGCTGATCTGTTCTCTGAAACAGAGGTTTACAGGTCTCTGTAAAAGTATGTGTAGCAAGTGTAAGTGTGCAAATGATGAATATGATAAATATGAAATTGGTTACAGCCACAGACAAACACACACAGGAGCTTGACAAATGAAACTACCATGCCAATAGGATATTGTCAGCATGTATTGCATTTTTTGGTACAACAGAAGTGCCAAAGGCATGTTTGAAAACCAATTCATAAAATTTAAAAAAATGTCAATTGTCATTGTCAACTAATGACCATTTATGAAACTTTTCATAGTGATGGTTGTAGTTTGCCCATTCTTCAGTATCAGCCTCACTTTCTGCCTTCTAGAAGAATGCTATATACACACACACACACACACACACACACACACACCATAAAGATGGTTTCTTTAATCTTGAACGAGTGTGGTCAGTTTTCTTTTTTGTTATCTCATGTCTTATTCTCCAGGAGATCATCTATTAACAGGGGAAATAGCTGCAGTGGTGGATGGCTGCCATACATGGGAGAATGTCAGTCATTACGGAAATAGTTGTGTAATTTTAAGAAACTGCTGCCATGGCATATCTCGATTTGAAGGTATTGTCCTTGCACTCTTCTTTTGTTTCAGCAGGCCGATCACCCATTTCGATCCCGGCCCACCAGTTGTTTGTATACAGCAGAACTCTCAGTAATGGAAGGTGCTCCGTCTGGCACGCAGCCCGACTGCAGGTCAATACTTTCAGAGACTCTGCAACTGCAGTGCCGTCCCTCAACAAAATATGTCTTCATTTCCCCTTGCCCACCCCTCACGCCTAAAGCGAGGGTCTCCGCCGCCTCTCGCGTACCACATAACGATAATCAACCCCCCTCCTCCCCCTCAGCTGTGTCCAACAACTACTTGAGCAAACTTTTCACAAAAGGAGTTCCCCTTTGCTCTCACCGTTGGGCGACGGAAGCAACGCTCAGTTTTACATTTTAGTACCAACACCAATTAATGGTGCTCGTGAGTGGTGTGGTATCTTCCCCCCCCCCCCCCTTCTCAATCCCAGCGAACTAGTGATGGGACACGGATAGGAAACAACGTACACGTTGGCTTCAGAACGTGCGTGTGACTGCGCCTGAAGTTATCCGCCTGCCCCGCGTGCCGCGGTTCTGCATGGAAGTCTAACTTCAGTTGAGTTTGCTTGTGTGTCACCGCCCGTCGCTTCGTGGGTCCAAGTTAACGTTAAACCCGAGCGCGTGTTGGCGACGTTAACGGAGTTGTATCAAAATGCGAGCTTCGGCTAACGTTGTGAACTGAGCTAGCTAACTTCACTCTCCCACCGGCGTGACGCAAACTCTTCACTGACGGGAGTCGTTAGCTCGAATAAAGCTAGCATTCTTTGAAACAAAGCCCGGTCTAACGTCGGTGAACTAACGGCAGCGGCTCGTGCGCGACTTCTTTCAAAGGCCAAACGTCATAACAACAAAAAACCGTTAACTCACGGGTAAGTCCGTACAAGGTGAGGAGTGACGTTAAAAGTCGCAGTCCGTTAGATGGCCAAGTCCTCCCGTGCGGGCATCGTCTCTCCATGATTCCCGTCGCTCTGTGCGCTTTGGCACGCTCTGACCCGTCCTCTCCTCTTCTCTCTCTCTCTCTCTCTCTCTCTCTCTCTCTCTCTCTCTCTGGCCACTGGCGCGCGCTTCTGGGGGGAGCTGCTCTCCATGGCAACCTATCGGCGTGGGCTGCACCACTACTGCTGGACACAAGACTGATCAAAAGCAGCCGCTGGACAGCTCCGAAATGCAGGTACGATGGGGATAAAAGTGTTATGTTGATATCTTTTTTACAAAATAATATTTATTTATCTATCTATCAATCTGTCTAAATATTCATTCATCTGCAAGTAACTGTAATATGGTCTCCTTTCTACAATACTTCCTTTGAAGAAAGTTCATTTTACACAGCGGGTCTACCCTTCAGTATATAAAACTCGCCAAACTCACCATCTGCAACCAAAAAGAGGTGTAACGTTACACGTTAATGCATCTAAATGTATGATCCAGTATATATGTGAGCCATTCTGCGTAATAAGTTATTTTACTTCGAAGAAGTATTCCAATGCTAATACCTTTTTATTGAAGTAAACATTTAAATGCAGTATTTCCACACTGTGGTATTTCTACTTTATAAAGATCTTCTACTTACTACTTACTTGCTACTCATTCTAGTAAAATATGGCATTGACAATAGTATTTAGTTGAGTATTGCAATAACATGCGGGTAGTATAAAATTGGTCAGTTGTCAAAGTACCCAATGGGCTTTATTAATTTATGTCATAATATTACAATATCAATGTGAATGCATTTATGTGTCATATTTTACTTGGCCAGTCAAGGCGATCCTAATTGGATTTTTTTTTACAGTTGAGAATCTTTCTAATTTTTTGTGAAATACAAGTAGAAAGTTACACGACCTGAACATATTCAAGTGCAGTACACATAAATGTGGTCAGTACCAGGGCAATTCACAACGTTGATTAACATTGGCAACCAGACCGTCATTCATGAGACTTTTTAAAAACAGCAAAGAGGACTTAAGTTGTCAAATAGGACCTATGCTGGAGGCCCCAAAACCTCAGGGGGCCGAGGGCTCCAGGTTCTCCACATGACATTTAGTTTAAGTTAATTTGATTAATTCTACATTTGTTTAGTTATATGGGTTTCATTGCTAAAGCACCACATAGACTCCCATGATAAGGGCCCAATGATTACAAGTTGTGGGCCCGCCTTCAGGATATGTATGACCCTAAATAGGTGGATAACTGCTTAATATATACATGTGTTTTATAAAAAAAGTTAACTTTACAAGATTGCTTTCTCTAAAAAAATAATATAATATACAGGTGTAATATTGTTTGGTTGAGTGGGGAATCCCCTCGTTATGAGGACATACTAGCAAAAACAGGCACTTTTTTTCTCAGACTGGCAAATGGTTACACAACTCTCTAACCACCAGCCTAGCTTAGTCATAGATCACGTTTTTCTATGAAGGTTTCGAATTAAAACCGATACAAATGTTGACTTCCAGTTACACATTTCCAAGGGCTCTCAGACTTTACAAAAACTCAACTTTACCAAAGTGCATTAAACATATGTATTGTCTGAATAAATTTAGGGTCGAAGAAAATAAGCAGCAAATACAAAAATGTATTAACAACACAGAAATATCAGTGATGGCTGACGTGCGTGTTTTGGAGGTTATTTGTAACCAATGTTCTAAAAGTATTTTAACACTGCAGGAAAATCCAAGAATTGAATATAAAAGTTAATATGAACCCCAGGAGATTTGCTAATGAAGGACAAATCAGTCACACGCAACAAAAGTGCTGAACTGCTTCCTGTTTCTCAGAATGTGCACATTTCTACAACTCTGTCCTAAAAGGAAGTAGTAATGAAGGACTCTCCTGCATTGTTCTTTTCTTTGAGATAATTACAGCTTTTACACATTCAGGAATCCGGCGTTATGTGCGGGCGGCACTGTTATTATCATGCACCGCAGCTTGAACTGATAAACATGCTTCCTCAGCAGTTTTAGACGCACATCATATTTATTCTCTGCACATAAGCAAAAATGCTCATCTCAATGAGATTCCTTCACGTTGAGCTGCCCATCTCGCACCTCTGTGACGTCCTCGGAGTCCGTATTACCTCATCAGGAGACACAAACTCTCCAGGGAGCCTCCAATCTGCTGCAAAATTTAACCCGCTGCCTCAACCAGCTCTATAACTCAGCATCACTGTGATTAAAGCATGACCCATGATATGTCACCAACAGCCTTTATACCCTGCGGCGGTTTATTTATATCCTCAAAGAGCTATAAATCCCCCAGGTGAAAGTGCTGCCCTTTTCACCAATCAATCTCCCCTCCCGGGCTACTTTGCATTGGAACAGTAACGGCAGTGCAGGGAGGAGGCTCGTGTATCCATGAGATGATGAATAACATCCTATTTTCTTCCACATAACATGTAATGTGTTACATGTTATTTCAGTGGAATAGTTTCAGTGAGGCTTATTTTTACACAGCTTACAGAATTTCTGCTGTAAGAAATGCTTAAACGCCCCCAGCAGCGCTAAATAAGTGACCTTAGTAAATGTGGTGACCTCACTGAGGTCTCTTAAATAAAAAATAAAATACTTCTGTGTAAGTAGCACATTTTCTTCCGGGCAAGCGACGCTGCACTGGCACCACCTCCCCTGTGACTAGTGGGTGCACATCCACACTGGCTGTCTGGGACATTTGGTTTTACAGCCTGTGAAAACAGCCTTTGTTAAACACAACATTCCTCACTAGTCACATTGGTGAGCCAGTCCTTGCTACCTCACCCCCCCCTTCACCCCACCCATAGCCACTTTCATAGGCCAAGGTTTGACCACCTAGAGCAGGGAGATATCACACTGGTGTTTGCAGCTCCACATCGGCCTCCCACCGTAATGAGATCTCTCCACGCTGACCCTGTGCAGTAAACACTGACCTTTTGGAAGGCAAACATGCAGAGCGCGTAACAGTCAGAGCACACTCACATTTGGGAAGGATAGGGCTGCTCAGAAATTGGTATTGAGGGTTCAAACTGGTTATGATCCATGCACAATCCTTCAAAATTGTGGTACTGTATGTAGCCACGCTGGGTTGGAGTCTAAATGCAGTGTGCAATTGTAGGGAAACGTGCCGCAGGGTGTGCAGCGTATTCACAGGGATTGTTCTCTAACAATCTTGTTTTTAAACACCATAGACAGTTAATAAAATGGGTCATTTCCATTTTAGTAAAAAAGTATAAACAATGGGAAAAAGTTACTCCAGTAAACTCATTTGGACTGATTGGGAATGAAAATGGAAATAGTGCATCCAACTGTAGAAATAATTAAGTAAGAGTGCCACAATGGATTTAGAACGCCATCTGCTGGAATTAAAAGGGGTTCACACTGTTTAAGGCCCACTTTTTCTTACTGTAAATATGCACATGGTCTTTTTGGAGACTAAAGTACGATACAACTTTAGATGAGCTCAGCCTGCATTCTTCTCCACAAGTTGTATCACCTGACCACAAATCTATATCAGTGAGTAACTGATGGAAACCATTGTTTTTATCTCCCTCAGAAAATCATCTTTTGACCAGAGCGGTTTGTTTCCTCCTGTGAAATTGTGGAAGAAGGTGGATGCTGGAGATGGAGTGATGACAGGGTAAGGCAGTTGAAGAACGACCCAAAAGCCTTGCAGCGATGTCAGGACATGCGTCATTTGCAGAGACTGAACAAAGAGTTGAGTGAAAAAGAGATACACATAACGGGTTTAATTTTGGTATAACACAAAAATTGGATTACAATGAGTCAAAAACATAATATTCTTTCCTTTAGAAGCAGTTGATAATCATTGTTCTGATTTAGCCTTAAATGACCAAACACTGAACAGGAAGTGTTGATTTGTGGAGATGTCCTCATTTTGTGTGATTCACTGTTTTCAGAATTACAGCTGCTCATTTGAGCACAATACACATGACAATTCACAGTCAAAAAGAGAGAAAAAATCAGTATGAAAAGAAGAAGAAGAAATGAAACCTTTTTTATGTGTTACCATTTCTTTTGGTACATTTGTTTCAGTCTTCTCTTAGATAAGCCTCAGGCACCTCCTCCTCTTCAATGTTATTTTGTGAGGAGGCAACATATTGCATCATCCTTTCAACCTCCATTACTTTAGTCTCGGCTAACTTCTTATCTGAATCCAATGACAGTTTCTGTGCTACCTCGACCTGCGATTGGGCCACCTGGATGTTGGACCTCACTGTGATGGCAGCATGTTCAGCTCCTGGAAACACACAGAAGAAAGAAAGAAAGATCAAAAGGTGGACATAAAACCAGCTTAAGTCCGGACATAGGCCGTGGTCATCGACAAGACACTCCTGTCCATCATCTCCATTTTGTTAGACAAAAAGCCCTACTGAGTGACAGCAAATGATCCATGCACTGCTCAACGTGGCACAGGCGGCGACCTACAAAGCTTTCAGAAGATGTTTCACAGCTGTACACATTTAATCATAGTCACAAAAACCCTTAAAAAAATCAGGGTCAACACTTCAACCACGACTTCACAACAGTTTGCTCGCGCAGCCTTAAAACTCAACTGGGACATTGTCTTTTACACACCTGAGATGTATGCTGCCTCAGCTGCTGTTTCACACAGCCTGACTGCGCTGACCCAGGTTGACTCAAAGCGCTTGCATTCATCTTGTCGGTCTCTAATCTGTCAGGGCAAAAACAATCCTTAAGTCGAGACCTACAGATCAACAGGGTTTGCAAGTCCTTTGTCATAATGAATTAAATGAAGTCAATGAATAAAAAAGACAAAAGTGTTCTGCTACACTCAAGTTTATTTTGATGTACTTTTCTCAGTAGAAAACAAACTAACCTGTGAACGTTGACCAATGATCACTTGCCAGATGGTATCTTCTTCTGCAGGACTCAGTTTTTCCAGTGATTGCAAATATCTTTTTTGCAGGGCTATGAGTGTGTGCACAGCCTGTTAGCAAACAGAGCGAGGTCATATGCCGTTTACATTTGAAATAAAACCACAGAGTCGCACAGAGGATTCTTTGGCGTATGGAAGCTATTCAAAATATTATAGTTGATAGATTTAAACAAAATAGGTGTTGATTATCTCCACCACTGGACAGGACAGGGTGTTATTTGTATACAGATCTATTATTGGCAATACATGCTGAAACTGGCAATGAACCACTTTAAATGCTTAATGCTCTTCTATTATTCTGGTCTATTTAAAGTTGGACTGAGGCATAAACAACTTCACCCTCAAAAAAAGTCCTATTCAATTCATAGTATAAAAAAAAACTGTGTCATCACCCTGCATCACACTGTTTAAGCTGCAACAAATTCTGTGGCGTAATGTTACTGACAGGAATCAGGAAGTATTATGTTTCTTGTATGTGGAATTATAGGGGGTTAACGTGAGATCTAAGAACACACGTTTGTAGTATGCTGTACGGATTGTAACTCATTGTCATGAAAAATAACCCTAAATTCAGTATATAGGCTAGGATATCGGAATAGGTTTACCACACAATCAAAACTTACTTTAGAGTACTCTGTAATGGCGTCTACGAGAGCCAAACTGGTCTGAGACAGAAACGTGCTTGAACTGTCGGTAACCAGAGAGGCAGCTCGTTTGATTAGAGAGTCGTGAGAGAGGTTTTCAACCTGCAAAAGACACACATGGAGAGCAATAAACACCATGCAAGTGTACACTAAAGCAATAAGGTCATTTGTCGTCGATAACGTTACAGGTCAAGGGTTAGACCCGACGCGTGACGTCAGTTATAAAGTTGCCGCGTTTCTGGTAAATTGACCAACTCACCTGTTTGAAAGGAACAGCACAAAGCCCGCCGCCTACAGTAAGAGACGCTACGCCCGTGTACACAATACTTGTCCATTTGACCGCTTTATGGACTGCAGGTTTTCTGATGCTGAACAGGACAGGAGCTGAACTCCTGAAGAAAATTTAAAAAAAAGAGAAAACGTTGCGTACCGCTGCACGAACACACCAGTTTACGTTACATCCCAGTTCTTTGCCACGTATTTATTAGTGGGTATAAAAGTGAGCTACCGCGCCATAAATAGCCTGTCGCCACCAAAGCCTTGCGATTGTGGGAAGCTAGTCCAACATTAAACGCTTATATTAATTCACATGAGTATGACAAGACACACAAATGCTAATTGTTGGCAATGAAAAATAAGTTTAACGTGCTTGTGGCAACTTCCGGTTGCTTCTGTTGCTAGAACCGTTTTGAAGCAAAACATTCTAAGTTCATCCCTTTAGAATTGGAGACAATATTCCACTTTGAGGTGCGGTTCATTTTAGAAAGCTCGGAGATGTTACAAACGTGGTCTCTAAAGCCTAACACAACCTACCTGAGGAGACGGAGGCATGTTGTTACTTTCCGTAGCGCGGCCATGTTTGTCCGACACTACAAATGTCCGTCGTCACTGAGCAAAGGTTCCGCCTCTGTGGAGCTGTCACAAACAACGCTGCTGCACTCACGTGGTGAAGAAAAAGCAACATTATTTTGTGCTCAGTTTTGACTGCTAAACAGCAACCAGCCATAGCATGCGGGGTGTGTAAAGTCCTGGTTGTCATTAATCATGCTGAACAATGCTTTGGAGGGATTTGTTCACTGACCTATGGAGAATCTGCTTGGTGATATTTAGACTAGTGTTTTCTTCCTCTCTATTAGGAAGTTAAAGCTTCTCAAATTGAATTGATTGGTGAAGTAGTTAAGATTGGCCTGCATCAGAGTTACTTATCAATACATGATTTAATTAAGTATAATTTGTGATATTATTATATATTAATCAGAACCTGCAAAGTCACTGAACTTGTGAAAACATAGTTTTAAAATAAATGTAGGGGAGGTAATAGTCCTACAACACAGGTGTCAAACTCAAGGCCCGTGGGCCGAATTTGGCCCCTTGGGGGGGGTGGGGGGGGGGGGTCCAGTGCGGGCGGCCCGCTGGATGAATTTGCTGTTGTGAGAATTACAAAAAACAAAATTGCATTTCTATAAAAGTAGCTGCTACTCCTAAAGCGTCCACTGAGGGTCGCACTCTGTGAGTGAGCGCATGCGTTAGAACAGGGGGACACGTTCGCTCACTAGATCACCTGCCATTGGAAGAAACAAAAATCACATAAAGGTCACCATGCGGTCGCTATTGACAGACGAGAGGCTCGTTGTGTTTTTTATATTGATTTGTTTTGCGCTCCAGGTATGCAGCGATTTTGTTCCGTATTATTATTGCGGGCGACCTAGAGAATGACGTCTTTGTGTGTGGAAGTCGTTGGTTTGTTTATTTATTTATCATAGACTTGCCCTGTTCGCCCTGTTCGCGAACATGTTTGTCCTGTTTTTTCCTCCACAACATTGTTCCCCTCGACTGGCAAACCAACGTTTGCGGAGATCTCCCTCCATGAATCGGAGGCCATCCGCGGGTCCTTATAGTCCGCCTATGATGGGTTGTATAAGTGGTCATATTTACGGATTTCTTCTGACAAAAGCTCTTCAATCTGATTCGTTCTCTTGTAAAAAAATCTACATGTTAATAATGCTATGAAAAGTGCTCCGTAAAGGATGTAGTTAGCAGACCAATCGCAGCCTTGTGGGCTGCGTGAGGCTTGCGTAGCTTTTGACGCTAGTCTAGAAAAATGGGTCGACGCACGCAAGGAGGGGTTAAGGCTGGCACATGCTTCTGCGTCTTTACGCACCGTTGTGTCGACGCACTCGTTTCAATTTATGGTTTGGCAAGACTAAAAGTCTTGCGTGTGTTGCAGAGCAATTCACCGCCAGAACAATAGGTGAAGTAATGTTTTTTGCTGTCTTTGTGTGTGGAAGTCGTTGGTTTGTTTATTTATTTATCATAGACTTTATTGCCCCGTGCATCGCCACTGCTGCTTTTCATCGTGGACACATTTGTCCCGTATTTTCCTCCACAACCCCTCGACCGGTGTTACACCCCTACTGGTTTTTCCACCTACTGGTTTCCCTACGCGTGCGTGTTTGTGTTCACTCCACAGCTGCAGATGTGTCCGCCTCAGTTCCCTGATTCGTCACACATTCACAAACATATTGCTGAAAATCTACAAAACGCATCACAAATCCATTGCAGTGTTTACGATTGTATAAGTGAGCACCACGTCACAGCCACGTATGAAAACATTTACATGAAAAAATATATTAAAGGAAAGATCGGCACAACCTGGATTCGAACCCGGGGATCAAAACATCAAAAATATTAACCTGGTGGCTGCTCTTAGCAGTGCGCCACAGAGACACACAGCAATTTGTTGACCCTTAGTATAATTTATTCATTTCGTTGACGTAGATCAGCATGGAGGAAACCTTTTGGTGTCGTGGATCTAAAACAACTGGTTACCTTGGGCGTGTCTTGGAACACTTCAGGACATGTGCAACGCTACTTCTTCACGAGGCTGCAGCCTTGCAGCGACACATTTTGATAAAGAAAGGATATTGTTTTCTTACGACCATCGCGTGACGTAAACCACAGACACGAACAAAACAAAGTTTAGAAAATATATTAAAAGATCGAAACGACCAGGTTCCGAACCCATGCAGCAAAATGCAAACGCATCACGTTACTGCTCGCTCTTTTCGCTGCGCCACGGGGCAGCACACAGTATTTGGTCTTAATATATTAGTATATCCTGATTGACATGGAGGAAACCTTCTGGTGTCGTGGATCTGAAACAACTGGTTACCTTGGTCGTGTCTTGGAACACATCCAAAGAAATGTATCGATTCTTAATTGTCACCCAATTAAAGTTAACAAGCAGCGTCCCTATAAAAACGCCATGAGGTCGTACATACGATCTTTCCGAACAAGAGATGGACCCACAAAAAGTGAAGGAATTGAGTGAAACAGATTGTACACTTGCAAAACTTCTATTAGGAATCAGATACCTTATAAAGCTCCCAAAAGGAAATTTTATTAAATAATTGTGTTTTAACAGTCACAATAAATAAATCATTGAAAAACAAAATAAAGTAGCTCTAAAGAAAGCATGCTGGACAGCAGAAGTCCTGCTCCAAAGGTGGTTTCCCAGTGCAAACCCAGTGGAACCACAGATGGATGTCACGGAAGACACGCCCAAGGTAACCAGTTGTTTTAGATCCACGACACCAAAAGGTTTCCTCCATGCTGATCTACGTCAACGAAATGAATAAATTATACTGAGGGTCAACAAATTGCTGTGTGTCTTCGTGGCGCACTGCTAAGAGCAGCCACCAGGTTAATATTTTTGATGTTTTGATCCCCGGGTTCGAATCCAGGTTGTGCCGATCTTTCCTTTAATATATTTTTTCATGTAAATGTTTTCATACGTGGCTGTGATGTGGTGCTCACTTATACAATCGTAAACGCTGCAATGGATTTGTGATGCGTTTTGAAGATTTTCAGCAATATGTTTGTGAATGTGTGACGAATCAGGGAACTGAGGCGGACACATCTGCAGCTGTGGAGTGAACACAAACACGCACGCGTAGGGAAACCAGTAGGTGGAAAAACCAGTAGGGGTGTAACACCGGCAAACCGACGTTTGCGGAGTTTCCCTCCATGAATCAGAGGCCATCCGCGCGTCCTTATAGTCCGCCAATGACGGCTTGTATAAGCGGTCATATTTACGCATTTCTTCCGACAAAAGCTCTTCAATCTGATCCGTTCTCTCGTAAACATTCTTCGTTTAATGGCGGTATTGTGCTATGAAACCGGAAATGTGAGACTCCGTAAAGGACGTAGTTACGCGAGTCTAGAAAAATGGGTCGACGTACGCAAGGACGCAAGGAGGTGTGAAAAGGGACCCAAGGGGCTCTTGCGTCTGCGTGTCCTTTCATTTTCCTGAAAACGCTAAAGCATAAACTAGGCTTTAGCGCCAAACTCATAGATATAAATATAACGGCTAGATGTCTTGTCCGCACATGGCGGCCATCTTGGTAGAGTCAGCTCGCTCACCCATAACATTGTGTTGGTAACGATTCATGTACGTTTTAAGTAACTATTATTAACAATATTAACTTTAATAATAATAACTTTTTCAACCGATTGATTAACGGTTTGGTTTGTTATAAACGTCAGAGATGTAGCATGTTATAAAAAATAGAATAATGTTCTAAATACAAGATTTTTCTTTACAAATATACATCAACAAATGCAGCATGTTGAAATCCTCACACTGTACAGACAGGTATTTATGACACTAGAATAAATGTAATTAGAATCATAGGTTTTCATACAAAACCATGCATGATATTAACCAGAACATTATACTGTCCTACAGTGTTACTTCTGAATTTCAGTGGAGTATCAGTATATATAAAGCAGCAGAAAGTACAGTCATCAAGTTAATTTCAATTTCAACTTTCCACCTCTGGTAGTTTTGTTGTTCAAAGCTATAAGACAAATTGAACCAAATTAAATGAAAGCAAACCAAAAATTAATGAGCATATTTCACAAATGATTGCAGGAGAAAGGTTTAATTAGGGTCACTGTCTGAGATGTAAGTGCTTAAATTCCTCCCAAGCATTTGCAGGCTTGCAATGATAAAAGAGCACTTTGTCATACATTTAGGCCCTTAGATGCCCTTTACTGTACACCTTTCTTCTGACCACAGAGTGGAGAGCCAGGAATATGTGCATGTGGAAAATGAGCAAACTAATTAAAACAGAAGAACGAATTGATGGCAAGACACTGACATAAGGATGGAGGATTTAACTGTTGTCTTTTAGAAGGGATGTTATGTCCTGTTCGCAAAAGAGAGTATTAGAAAAGAGTTACATCCCATATGGAATTCTTGATTCAAGTGAAAGCTGAGAGGCGTATGAGCAGTGTTGGGAGTTACTGTAATTCCACTACTTTTAGCGGTAACGAGCATGTAACGAAGTACTTTTTAAAATAAATTAACGCAGTTACAATTACTGAAATTGAAATGAGTTCGTTACTCGCGTTACTCTCTTTTGGGACGCGAAGCGGAGGGCCGGCAAATATTAAGTAAATAGCTGCCTGTCAGCACAAAATAGTTGTGGCCACCAAACGTTGTGTGTCACAGAATAGTCGCCGTACGTGCATGTAAACAGCATCGCGTCGCTCATGACGAAAGACCGCAGGCCTGCAGACGCTGCAGGCGCCGCTCCACGCAAACAACCAATGCTCCACTTTACACGGACTGCAGTGCAGCCGATAAACCGGGAGGAGCTGAATAGATTGATTGCTCGCTATGTTGAAGATGAGATGCATCAAATGTCGAGTAAGTTGCCTTCAGGCAAATGCCTGAAACAGTTATTTTGTATTAAGTTAAGTATTAAATAGGAGTTTTGCTTGATTTGAAGGCCTGTTGCCCTGTTGATTACAATAAATAGGTCTAACAAATATGTTTATTGTGTTTGACTGTTCAGTACTATTTATATTCATTACATTTAAAAATGAGACATAAAAGTAACTTAAAAGTTACTTTCCAGAGTAACTTATTACTTTTGATACACAGCAACTGGTAAGTAATTCAATTACCTTTAAAAGAAGTAACTAGTAACTGTAACTAAATACTCATTTTTCAGTAACTTGCCCAGCACTGCTTATGAGTCAATAATTCTTTAATAATTACTTACTTTTATTACTACTTACTAATAATTCTTCATTCTTTAATATTATCTCATGTGATCTATTATGCATACCTGCGCAATGTCAGACAACAATACTTCCTTTAGAAAAATCGTGTCGCACAGTTTAGACAAACAGTTTAGATTATAATCTGTAATTAACATAGATATAGAAAATAGTCAGTGTCATGTTAAATTGGCACACTATGGGGTCGGGTCAATGTGCCATGCATTTATTGTTTATAGCAATAAAGTAAAAAAAATGGGCGATGTATTAACGATGATCACAGATTGGGTTATAGTGACCAGTGCAATTGTTAATGTGTTTCTAAACTCACTTTACAATATGTTTTTCAATACCCGTAGGGACGATATTAAAAGAAAATAAAGATTAAAGTAAAACATTTTATTCTTTCAACAACATTAGATTCAAGCATTTATTTTATGGTTTCATTAACGTGCTATAAACAAACAAGCGATTACAGAAGGTTTAATTAGCCGCGCCAACATCAACACACCGGTCTTTGAATAATTAATGATGCCATTAATCATCACTTTTAATAAGCTCCACAGGAGTTTATGTTACACAAGGGAATAAAGATTACTGGCTAATTATCATCATCATTATGTTGACAATAAAAATATTTGGACAACAAAAACACGCCAAAAATATCAGTTTATTCCCTGAGAACACATCTGTCACGGTGTGGTTCACTTCCTGTTGTATTTTGTAGTTTTCTGCCACTCGTGTCCCCGGGTAACTTCACTTCCTGCCTTGTCCCGTCATCCCCTGTGATCGTGTAATAGTTTCCACCTGTGTCCAATCACCTGCACCTCCCTTGTGTATTTAAGCCGTGTGTCTCTTGTGTCACTTGTCGCGTCATTGTCTTTCGCCACGCATGTCCTTGTCTCTCGTCGTTCGCAGTTCCTGTCTCCCGTTTTGTCCCTTGGCCTTTTGCTTTAACCTTTTTGACAATTAAAGTCCCTTTTGATTTTTAACTCTGCGTCTGAGTCCTACCTCCCGCAATCCCCTGACAATATCAGAGTTAACTATCAGAAGTTGTTTACTGTAAAGGGCACACCAAGTATTGTTGTTCATTAAGTGAAAGGTTGGTCTAAAATAAATCCATCCAGTTTTTGCCATAAGAGGCTGAAATTTGGTATTGAGTCCAAGTATGTGGAGACGGTGTGTTGGTATGTTTTTGTGTTGCAAGGAGAGTGATCTAAAACAAAAATTCACGTTAGTTTTGAACGGATTTAGCTTTGAGTAAAAACTAATTGTGTCACTAAAAGGTGCAGACCAGCCCACTGTATCAGTTCAATATTTTCTTTTAAAACCAAACACCTTCACACACAACAAACAATGTTATCCATCCGAGGAGGACTCATAATAATCCTGTTGCTGCATAATGAATTATGTAACAGCTGTTCTTTACTTCATGGGCCCTTTGAAGATTTTCTTTAACACATGATATATTTTTTTTAAAGAAACAAAAAGTAATGCATTCAATCACCAATTTGGATAATGATTGCAATGGCAACCATGTGGATGAAACTGATGTGTGGGTAGAGCCACAGCATTCGGGAAGGGTTACTAAATAATATCACTGGTTTGGGTGGGCAGTTATAAAAAGGACAAGACAATATTCAGGGTAAATTGATTTTTTTTTTAAAGATCAGTAGTTTTCCAACTATCTCAAAACTTTTTGTAAGTTTTGCTACATGCATCTTTGCTGAGAGCCCACAGAGGGTAGTGTGAATAATTGATGACGCAATTAACTGTGACCGTGAGTTTCCCCAGACTTTATTTGCCACTAATAGTGTCGATGGGCTCATTAGTAACGCTCCTGTGTTTTTAGTTTAAATCCACACAGAGAAAAACAAACCATATCTGCAAGAATATCTCTGTGTATGCTCCTGGTAGTTAGTGCTCAGACCTGACAACAATCCAAAACACAATAAAACACAAAGGATGACAAAGATAATGTATTAAGTTAAACAACTAAAACCAAACGCATATGAACTTTTCTCCTAAGATAAAAATCAGTATTAATCATTTACTTTGTCCACTGCATTGGCTATGTATAATCACAAGACATCCAATACCAATACCCCCCTGGCCATGGGGTCAGGTAAAGTTAGAAAAGAACTTGGAATGGAAATCAATATGGAATATACAAACAAATGTACACATTTTAAGATCATTCATCACAAGTAGCGAGGCCTTACTGCATTAGCAAAAGAGTGCCCTCGCACATTCCTCAAAACATTCAGTCTCAGGTTGCATCATGTATGAGGTACAGGTAAGTGTACTTATGTCTACATGTGAGATACGGTGGCCCTGAAGTGCAAAACACAACGGCAAATAGGAAAACACAACGAAATTAACTCCTTACGGAAAGGGTAGGGCCTTAGAGCAGGAAGCAGAGGACGGACCCTTCTGATTGGACAGAAGGACTGTCTGTCTTTTAACCCTCTTAATTCGAAGCCTTTTGCCGGCGACGGAAAGTGACATGGAGGATTCAAATTACTGTGACTCCTTAACTATTTGCACAATCGGATTGTGAAAGCTGAGAAATGCCGCTTTCTAGATATTATGGCAATCAATAAATCAGTGGCGGGACTGAGAGCCTGTGATGAGGGGGGGAAGTGAGCGCAGCAGGAGAGCCGCAGCAGAAAGTCACGGAGAGATGGCGATGTTTTACGAGTGTCTTAAAAGTGTCCTACTAGTGTTTCACCATTGTTTTACCGGTGTTTTGTTGTTCAATTATATTTAGGTGTTGTAAATAAAAGGGGGGGATGGTGCCGTGGATGCTACGGCCGGTGGACGCCGCGTACCACGGACGCTACGGCCGGTGGACGCTGTGGACGCTATGGTCGACACAACTCGGGGACCGGAGTCCGATTCCGTGGCGTGAGGAACTGGATGTGTGGCGGGAGTGCGTGACTGTCTCGCTCAATGCGTGATACTTGAGAGCCCTGTATCATTTCCTGTTAAAAGACAGACAGTCCGTCTGTCCAATCAGAAGGGTCCGTTCTCTGCTATAAGGTCCTACCCTTTCCGTAATGAGTTAATTTCGTTGTGTTTTCCTATTTGCCGCTGTGTTTTGCACGTAGTGAGACCACTAGGTGTTCCCTGCCACCATGGTTCACATTGTTATAATATTGGATCACTCATTGTAGGCCGCTTTAGTGAGCGTTCATACCAGGGATGATGATTACTTCTGAGAGGATATCGGGTCAGCATCTTTTCTTTACAGCGTCCATGGAAGTAATGTGTAATGGTTCATGCCAGCACACAGCTTTTTGTTGAAGATTGGCTTGTGGGTCTGTGCACCAATCTTCAACTTAGAATCGTGTGTGGCACACGCCGTTTCCATGCACAATGTAGTGAAGACCACTACCACAAACATGCAGCTTAGACTTTGATCATTTGTGCGCTGTAACGCAGATACACTTTTTGTGAAGGCATTGTGTTTCCAACTAAAAGGAAGACAGGGAATCTTGGACTAAATAAATATATTGCCGGGCATTGAATCCATGCATCCTTTCTAACACTAAAATAAATACAATAACAATTGTCACGAGTTGTCATGTTTACAACTGTGGTGATTCCCAGTGATCAAATAACAGAAGACACTGTGGCAATCAGTCATGACAAAATCCTTGGAATCGTGCAAGTTTACACTTAATAAAAGTAGCAGAACAATACTGAGCTGAGGATGATTGACAACATGAATGACATGGAGGGAATGAGATGGCAATAGTGATAGGGATTTTCTATACATGGACGCATTTCCATTCAACTTTTGCGTGTCAAAGTTTGAAAAATGTATTAACATTTTGTTGGACAGCACGTCTAGCACAATCTAGCTTTGAAACATGTCTTCATACTTACACCTGCAAAGCTGATGTGTATGCAACACACAAAGTGATTAGTTGAAGTAACAATGGCCTGTGAGGTGTGTTAACAATAATTAGAAGATGACGACATTGTCTGATTTGGTGTTCCCTCTGCGTCATATCTGCTCCTATAAAGTCTTAAAACACAATCCTCTCCCAGAAGACAGGACCGAACCCAGCAAAGGACCTTCATCTATGGATCTGTGCACTTCCATGTCCCATTAAGAGATGGTTTGGTAACGTGAAGCTATTGTGTATGTCCCACTTATTGTTGGTACTATATAAATATTCTAGTGTGTGTGTAATCGGCTAAAATGTAAAGTTGTGAGGTTGTTATTTGGGCTGTGTGACTGAGGAAACCTGTGTATCTGGCTGTTACAAATATCTTCGATTTCAATGATAGTTTTTTTGATAATGAATTCTTAATGTTGATCTGTCTTTAAAGCTACAATAGGTTGATTGTGACAGTGTTTCAAACCCTTGGACAGCTGGCTATAGCTGAAGATTATATGGCGGCCAATAACTCAGTGGTTGGTGTTGAATCTCCAACGTACAAGATTAACTATCGGGTAGTCATAGTTCAGGTTTTGGTGTCAGTCTTTCTTTTCATCAACTTTTTGCTAATAAGAACTTTTTTCGTGAAAGACTTCTACACAACCATGCGGTACATCTTGTTTGCTACAACCCTGCTGTCTGACTCTTTATTTTTAATCATATCTGACATCCTGCTCATTTTCAGTTACATTAAGATTACCATGCAAGTGTGGCTGTGTGTTATCATATACATTGTTTCATCGCTGTACACTTTTGTCACACCGGTTACTTTGACAGCAATGACCCTGGAGCGCTATGTGGCCGTTTGCAGGCCCCTGAGGCATGGAGAGCTGTGCTCAACTCGCAGAGCTCTGCACTGCGTCCTCATCATTCACAGCCTCAGCGCTATACCCTGCGTATTTATTCTTGCCGCCTTCTTTGCATCAGCGTCCCACAACTTCTATTCCCAGGGCAGAGAATGTGGTGTGGAAATTTTCACCTTTCACAAATGGCAGGGTCATCTTCGGTCAGCTGTAAGTCAGTTTTACTTCTTCATAATGCTCATTGCTATTGTATTCTGTTATGTTAAAATAATGAAAGTAGCCAAAGCTGCATCAGGAGAGGATAAAAAGTCAACAAGGAAAGGTCTCAAAACAGTAATTTTTCATGCTTTTCAGCTGTCGCTCTGTCTCTTCCATCTGTGGTGTCCATTCATAGAGGCTGCTGTACTTCAGATTAATTTAATATTATTCATTAATGTCAGGTATTTTAATTACATTGCTTTTATTCTCGCTCCAAGATGTATAAGTCCTCTTGTGTATGGCCTCAGGGATGAAATGTTTTTTCATGCACTAAAATACTATGCTCTCTGTGGCTTGTATAAGAAACAGTCGCCAAATGTACCTTGATTAATAAATATTTGTTTAAGTGTATCTTGCTTCATAATACAATAATATGTATGTACATAAAATATATGTGTGATTATATTACATTGATAGCCCCAGTTTCTTACAATACATTATAGTGACCCACACAACCTTCTTTTTGGTCTATTCACAACGTAGCAGTCTACTACTGGACCTTCAGACATCCAGACGACCTAAAATTGGACTAAGTATCTTTTCTTTAAACCAAACTAGTCCAAACCAAACATGGTAGTTTGATTTATCTCAGTTTTTTAGGGACTGGACTGACAGTTCTCTCTGTAGATTCTGCCATATTAGATTAAGTGACTTAGTGATAAGTGACTTCTAGCGTGCCCTCATATCTTTGCTAGGTTCGAACTGATCTAACTCTGTTTTGCTTTCTCTTCTGAAGTAAAGCTGACTTGAACCTTTGAAACTCTCAGGTTGTCAAAACAGCAGACTGTGAATGTTCACTCATTAGGGTGACAAAGTGGTTGTTGTTTTGCACTTTGGGAGTCAAGACAAGTAGGACAAGGACAAAGGTGTCTTCTGTGGGGGATTTCGGGGCGACTGAGTGCGGCGGCTCTGACTGCTAATTTTAAATAATGTGTTTGACCCCTCTACCTGCTACTTGCAAGGCAGACCTGATCTCCGGCTTTGCTATCCAGCAGTCGCTTGACTTCCTCGATCTCACCGAGACCTGGATCACACCGGACAACACATCCACCCCAGCTGCTCTCTCCTTCAGCCACACACCCAGACCCATTGGCAGGGGTGGTGGCACAGATTTACTCATTTCACCCTAATGGAGCTTTTCTCTTTACCCCAGGGGTCAACAAACTCCGGGCCGCGGGCCACATCCGGCCGCACCCCCTCGCTGGCCATACCGTTCTTCGCCGGCCGGACCGTCAGCGCCCCACCCCGTCGACCATAATGGTCCGTCCCAGTGTTGGTCGAAGTAGGCCGTGCATCTGGCCCACACATTAAATGAGCTCGAGACCCCTTTCATCTTCCACCCCACTGTCTTTCAAATTCCATGCTGTGACAGTTACTCACCCGGTACAATTAAATATTGTGGTTCTCTACCGTCCCCCAGGGGAGTACAGTACGATGAACGTCGTACTAAAACACACACAGATAGAACTATACACAATTCACACTATATACAACTCCCATAGCTGTATTGCACATTTCACACCCTATGCTACTTGTTGTTACAGCCTACATGCGCAAAGTCTGCAACTTCTGTCAGAGCAACGGATTTTGCGAGACAGACGCGATGTGCGCTGAGGGGAGGGGTTGTGTATGTGTGTGTGAGTGTGTGTGTGAGTGACGCGTGAGTGACACAGACGGAGGGAGAGCAGGGAAAGAAATTTGCTGCGTGATCTAAATAGCGTTAAAAAAATATATATATACACCAAACGAATGTGTGGCGGCCGGCGTTGAATCTGTGGTGCACCTGCACAAATTAGTCTATATGTGGGAAACACTGCAATATGATCCTGTAGATACACGCTCTACAACATCAGGGGGATACGTCCCCTTCTCACTCAGAAGGCAGCGCAGGTACTGATTCAGGCTCTCCCGCCTTGACTTTTGTAACTCCCTCCTGGCAGGTCTCCCTGCCACTGCCATTCGACCTCTGCATCTGATCCAGAATGCAGCAGCTCGACTGGTCTTTAAACTCCCGAAATTCTCCCACACTACTCTGTACATGCGCTTCCAGTTCAAAACATTGCACTCCCTTGTTTATTGTTCTTTTTCTCTAAATGACATGTAGGCGTAATGTAACATCTAAAAGAGTAGTATATAACATATGTAGTCTTTATACAGTAAAAATAGTTAACAGTTAATTATATTCCAATGGATTTGAACTTACAACAACAATAAATAGCCAAACCTAACAGTTGTTTAAATGTACTATACAATATTTTAGATTCATCAAGTCTAAAAGAATCAATAAAATCATCATCATCGTGACGTCAGCATTACCCTTGAAATCAACTTTATTTGATGAGACACTTTGAAAATATACTTTCAATAAATACATTTTGCAGCTTTTCAAAGCCCTCTGCCATCATGGTAAGCTTTATGGCATAAGTATTTTATTTTCAGGCGTATGCAACCAAAAGGGTGGTTCCTCAGTGAGGTGGTGTGTATGCACCACAGTAGTTGACAACTCAAATACATTTAAAATACAATTTATTGCACACTGACTGTTTTAAACTGTAGTTTGTGATTCAAACTCCGTATAAAAACATTGTCTAAAATGACTGAATCTAAAAGTAGTCTCAGATTTTGCAACACCGTAAAAGCCCAGTAAAAGAGATTCACCTCTATTTAAAGACAAATTAAACAGGACACTAGATTGGGCCAGCACGGACAAAGCTAACGTGGGTAGTTACTGCACGAGGACAATTTGCTTACCAATATATTTAGGGTTGCCAACCGTCCCGAATTGTCCGGGACATCTCGAGTTATAGGTGATTTTGATATGTCCCGTCAGGGACAGCTCCAGTCCCGTATTCCAATCCAATCCAGCCGCTAATTGGCTAAAAATGTGTGTCAAAATAAGTAATTTCATTGGTTACATTTTCGTGTAGTGACTTATCAACACATGGCTGATTTTAATATTCAAATGAGCCATGTGTTGATGCGGCGTAACACGTGCTCGTGCGCAGTTGGTACCACAGTAGGGTTGCCAACTCTCCCAACCCCAAATCAGGGACACTGATTTCAGGGACACGCTGACGGGGGAAGGGGGTGCTAGCGGTCGGCGGCCGGGGGGTGCTAGCGGTCGGCGGCCGGCCTGTGTATTATTTCACAGTGTAAAAGGACAAACTACTACTTTATCTCACTGCTCATTTTAACAGATAGGACAGCTCACACCTCACATGCTCCGCTTTGGCCACCCCCGCGCACGGGTGCCGTCAGAATGTCATACAACTCAGTCCTGTTCATGTCAATTAGCATAAAAAATATTATTAGACCTATGTAATCTGAATTGGAAGGGCACGTTGTCATGAGCTGTATCTTGTATATTTTTTATTAGCTATGTGGTATGTGTATGCACCTTTATGTAATCTGGTGGAAAAACATTTAAATTTAAAACCGGATCATACCAAACAAATCTGCTTGCCTGTCCCCGTGTATGCAAAGTGTCCTCCTTTTTGACGTGAAGGAATTGGCCACCCTACGAATAGCAGGTCCTTACAGTGAGAAACATTGCCAACCGACAGCTGCACTGTGTAAAAAGCCTCAGTGGACACCACATTGTAGGATATTAGAAACAAATTGACGACCCGGTTCATAAAATTAATAAAAATGCATATATTGTACACCAGAATACAGCCATGATTCTAAAACTATGTAATCAATAAAGTAATGACAATATTGTAAAACCACTGTAATTCTGTAATAGAATAACATAGATGTACAGTTATGATTGAATTTGATGTAATGTAATCAACTGGAATGCATGCATCCAATACTTGCACAACAACTGATATTGACTAACGGCCATTCGAAATCCGAGTTACATTGAACTCACCAGAAGTCGTGAAATGTATCGTGTTAAATACATTCAAATGATGTAAAGAAAGAGTTTAAATCGTAATTTATTTCATTATTTTGTATTGTTCGTACCTGTCATTTCAAAAAGCTCCTAATTATGAGGGTGTGCTGAGATGCTAGCTGGTGGAGGAAATTCCTTTGATTTTAGCGCCCTTGGAGAGCGGATTGAGGTATGAAGGATGCATGTGATGTTTTATTTGTCATAGCGTTTTAAACATATTTCATTTCACTTTGGCTAGTATTTCAAATGATTTGTATCGAGTGTAAACATTATTTTGTATAAGTTAATTGTTGAAACTACATAGAAGCATTGTGTATTTCTTCTGTTTCATTCTGTAGTTTTCACGGTGTTCATGGTGTTCAAGATGTTCACGACGTCATGGTGCTTATGGTGCTCGTCGAGAGAAACAAAATAAATCAACACCCGTTTGAAACTCTCTGCGTCTTGATCAATCAATCCGAGGGGCCGCTACAAGGAACTATAGCTAGGAACCATTGTTATTGGAGAAACACTGCCTTGTAACCGGACCGAGCAAGATGGACCGTACACGCGATGTGGAAGTTTATTAAAGTTTACAACCCAGTGAGGTGAGAACTGGAAGAGTGTCCTTGTGTTTGTGATTAAGTACCGCGTTATAACATAAGTGTGGACACTAACTTTCACACCTTTAAGCATTGTTATAAATACCTGTAGGAACCATTGTTCTCGAGTTTGCTGGTGGAGACAACAAACAGGCACTAGGGATGGTCAAAAGGACTTACCTGGGGCCTGTTGGTTGCTGAGACCAGCGGCTCCTCAGCTGAGATGTTCTTTTTACCACAACACTATCTCTTTTATTAAATACATTTGATTTTAACCTTTTGATCTGCGATGCCCTCTGTCAGTCCAGCGTTTCTTCATTTTTGAATACAACAACGTCAAAGTTAATTTATTCCACTTAGCATCTCTGCGTGTTCGCTTGAGCGAGGACCCTCTGCTAACAGATAGTCGCAGTCTCAGTGCCAGCTTTTCACTGTGTTATCCCAAGTGAGGACACAGGGTTAACCGTGACCACTGCTAGATCTCCAGTGACACAATATATATGTTGTTCTAGTCAAACATAGCATCTCATCCAGTTAGCCTGGGCGAGAACACCCTTCTAAATGTGTTAGCCGTAAGGTCTCATTAGAAATGTAGCCAGGGCTAGTGTTGATCCAGTTAACTAGCACCACACTCAGCCAGGAGGGAAGACTTGCTAACGGTGTTTGCCATAAGGCAACAAAACAACTTTAAACGTGCTAGTAGGGCTCTCAACTTTTCAAGAAACCTTGGAGTGACATTCTATTCAGGGACGGTCGACGTGCGTGAGAAATTGGATGTGTGACGCGAGTGCGTGACTAGATACCGGCTGTTTTCCCAATTCCCTAAAGGAGGCAAGAGGTAACCCTCTCCTTAAGAAACCTACACTCAATCCTTCTGAAGAAAACAACTACAGACCTGTCTCTCTTCTTCCCTTTTTGTCCAAAACCCTTGAACGTGCGATCTTTAACCAACTGTACTCCTATCTCCACCGTAACAACCTCCTTGACCCCCACCAGTCAGGCGTCAAGGCAGGCCATTCCACAAAGACTGCTCTCCTTGCTGTCTCAGAGCAACTCCACACTACTAGAACCGCCTCTCTCTCCTCTGTCCTCATCCTTCTGGACCTCTCCATTGCATTTGACACAGTCAACCACCAGATACTTATTTCCTCGCTTCAGAAACTTGGGTGTCTCGGGTTGAAGTAATTCAAAAGAATTCAAAAGAAGTAACTGTAACTAAATACTCATTTTTCAGTAACTTGCCCAACACTGCTTATGAGTCAATAATTCTTTAATAATTACTTTAATAATAATTCTTCATTCTTTAATATTATCTCATGTGATCTATTATGCATACCTACGCAATGCCAGACAACAATACTTCCTTTAGAAAAATCGTGTCGCACAGTTTAGACAAACAGTTTAGATTATAATCTGTAATTAACATAGATATAGAAAATAGTCAGTGTCATGTTAAATTGGCACACTATGGGGTCGGGTCAATGTGCCATGCATTTATTTGTTTATAGCAATAAAGTAAAAAAAATGGGCGATGTATTAACGATGATCACAAATTGGGTTATAGTGACCAGTGCAATTGTTAATGTGTTTCTAAACTCACTTTACAATATGTTTTTCAATACCCGTAGGGACGATATTAAAAGAAAATAAAGATTAAAGTAACACATTTTATTCTTTCAACAACATTAGATTCAAACATTTATTTTATGGTTTCATTAACGTGCTATAAACAAACAAGCGATTACAGAAGGTTTAATTAGCCGCGCCAACATCAACACACCGGTCTTTGAATAATTAATGATGCCATTAATCATCACTTTTAATAAGCTCCACAGGAGTTTATGTTACACAAGGGAATAAAGATTACTGGCTAATTATCATCATCATTATGTTGACAATAAAAATATTTGGACAACAAAAACACGCCAACAATATCAGTTTATTCCTTGAGAACATATCAGAGTTAACTATCAGAAGTTGTTTACTGTAAAGGGCACACCAAGTATTGTTGTTCATTAAGTGAAAGGTTGGTCTAAAATACATCCATCCAGTTTTTGCCATAAGAGGCTGAAATTTGGTATTGAGTCCAAGTATGTGGAGACGGTGTGTTGGTATGTTTTTGTGTTGCAAGGAGAGTGATCTAAAACAAATATTCACGTTAGTTTTGAACGGATTTAGCTTTGAGTAAAAACTAATTGTGTCACTAAAAGGTGCAGACCAGCCCACTGTATCAGTTCAATATTTTCTTTTAAAACCAAACACCTTCACACACAACAAACAATGTTATCCATCCGAGGAGGACTCATAATAATCCCGTTGCTGCATAATGAATTATGTAACAGCTGTTCTTTACTTCATGGGCCCTTTGAAGATTTTCTTTAACACATGATATATTTTTTTTAAAGAAAAAAAAAAGGAATGCATCCAATCACCAATTTGGATAATGATTGCAATGGCAACCATGTGGATGAAACTGATGTGTGGGTAGAGCCACAGCATTCGGGAAGGGTTACTAAATAATATCACTGGTTTGGGTGGGCAGTTATAAAAAGGACAAGACAATATTCAGGGTGAATTGATTTTTTTTAAAGATCAGTAGTTTTCCAACTATCTCAAAACTTTTTGTAAGTTTTGCTACATGCATCTTTGCTTAGAGCCCACAGAGGGTAGTGTGAATAATTGATGACGCAATTAACTGTGACCGTGAGTTTCCCCAGACTTTATTTGCCACTAATAGTGTCGATGGGCTCATTAGTAACGCTCCTGTGTTTTGAGTTTAAATCCACACAGAGAAAAACAAACCATATCTGCAGGGATATCTCTGTGTATGCTCCTGGTAGTTAGTGCACAGACCTGACAACAATCCAAAACACAATAAAACACAAACAAAGGATGACATAGATAATGTATTAAGTTTAAAAACTAAAACCAAACGCATATGAACTTTTCTCCTAAGATAAAAATCAGTATTAATCATTTACTTTGTCCACTGCATTGGCTATGTATAATGACAAGACATCCAATACCAATACCCCCCTGGCCATGGGGTCAGGTAAAGTTAGAAAAGAACTTGGAATGGAACTCAATATGGAATATACAAACAAATGTACACATTTTAAGATCATTGATCACAAGTAGCGAGGCCTTACTGCATTAGCAAAAGAGTGCCCTCGCACATTCCTCAAAACATTCAGTCTCAGGTTGCATCATGTATGAGGTACAGGTAAGTGTACTTATGTCTACATGTGAGATACGGTGGCCCTGAAGTGCAAAACACAACGGCAAATAGGAAAACACAACGAAATTAACTCCTTACGGAAAGGGTAGGGCCTTAGAGCAGGAAGCAGAGGACGGACCCTTCTGATTGGACAGAAGGACTGTCTGTCTTTTAACCCTCTTAATTCGAAGCCTTTTGCCGGCGACGGAAAGTGACATGGAGGATTCAAATTACTGTGACTCCTTAACTATTTGCACAATCGGATTGTGAAAGCTGAGAAATGCCGCTTTCTAGATATTATGGCAATCAATAAATCAGTGGCGGGACTGAGAGCCTGTGATGAGGGGGGGAAGTGAGCGCAGCAGGAGAGCCGCAGCAGAAAGTCACGGAGAGATGGCGATGTTTTACGAGTGTCTTAAAAGTGTCCTACTAGTGTTTCACCATTGTTTTACCGGTGTTTTGTTGTTCAATTATATTTAGGTGTTGTAAATAAAAGTAAATAAAAGGGGGGGAGGGTGCCGCGGATGCTACGGCCGGTGGACGCCGCGTACCACGGACGCTACGGCCGGTGGACGCTGTGGACGCTATGGTCGACACGACTCGGGGACCGGAGTCCGATTCCGTGGCGTGAGGAACTGGATGTGTGGCGGGAGTGCGTGACTGTCTCGCTCAATGCGTGATACTTGAGAGCCCTGTATCATTTCCTGTTAAAAGACAGACAGTCCGTCTGTCCAATCAGAAGGGTCCGTTCTCTGCTATAAGGCCCTACCCTTTCCGTAAGGAGTTAATTTCGTTGTGTTTTCCTATTTGCCGCTGTGTTTTGCACGTAGTGAGACCACTAGGTGTTCCCTGCCACCATGGTTCACATTGTTATAATATTGGATCACTCATTGTAGGCCGCTTTAGTGAGCGTTCATACCAGGGATGATGATTACTTCTGAGAGGATATCGGGTCAGCATCTTTTCTTTACAGCGTCCATGGAAGTAATGTGTAATGGTTCATGCCAGCACACAGCTTTTTGTTGAAGATTGGCTTGTGGGTCTGTGCACCAATCTTCAACTTAGAATCGTGTGTGGCACACGCCGTTTCCATGCACAATGTAGTGAAGACCACTACCACAAACATGCAGCTTAGACTTTGATCATTTGTGCGCTGTAACGCAGATACACTTTTTGTGAAGGCATTGTGTTTCCAACTAAAAGGAAGACAGGGAATCTTGGACTAAATAAATATTTTGCCGGGCATTGAATCCATGCATCCTTTCTAACACTAAAATAAATACAATAACAATTGTCACGAGTTGTCATGTTTACAACTGTGGTGATTCCCAGTGATCAAATAACAGAAGACACTGTGGCAATCAGTCATGACAAAATCCTTGGAATCGTGCAAGTTTACACTTAATAAAAGTAGCAGAACAATACTGAGCTGAGGATGATTGACAACATGAATGACATGGAGGGAATGAGATGGCAATAGTGATAGGGATTTTCTATACATGGACGCATTTCCATTCAACTTTTGCGTGTCAAAGTTTGAAAAATGTATTAACATTTTGTTGGACAGCACGTCTAGCACAATCTAGCTTTGAAACATGTCTTCATGCTTACACCTGCAAAGCTGATGTGTATGCAACACACAAAGTGATTAGTTGAAGTAACAATGGCCTGTGAGGTGTGTTTACAATAATTAGAAGATGACGACATTGTCTTATTTGGTGTTCCCTCTGCGTCATATCTGCTCCTATAAAGTCTTAAAACACAATCCTCTCCCAGAAGACAGGACCGAACCCAGCAAAGGACCTTCATCTATGGATCTGTGCACTTCCATGTCCCATTAAGAGATGGTTTGGTAACGTGAAGCTATTGTGTATGTCCCACTTATTGTTGGTACTATATAAATATTCTAGTGTGTGTGTAATCGGCTAAAATGTAAAGTTGTGAGGTTGTTATTTGGGCTGTGTGACTGAGGAAACCTGTGTATCTGGCTGTTACAAATATCTTTGATTTCAATGATAGTTTTTTTGATAATGAATTCTTAATGTTGATCTGTCTTTAAAGCTACAATAGGTTGATTGTGACAGTGTTTCAAACCCTTGGACAGCTGGCTATAGCTGAAGATTATATGGCGGCCAATAACTCAGTGGTTGGTGTTGAATCTCCAACGTACAAGATTAACTATCGGTTAGTTGTAGTACAGGTTTTGGTGTCAGTCTTTCTTTTCATCAACTTTTTGCTAATAAGAACTTTTTTCGTGAAAGACTTCTACACAACCATGCGGTACATCTTGTTTGCTACAACCCTGCTGTCTGACTCTTTATTTTTAATCATAACTGACATCCTGCTCATTTTCAGTTACATTAAGATTACCATGCAAGTGTGGCTGTGTGTTATCATATTCATTGTTTCATCTCTGTACACTTTTGTCACACCGGTTACTTTGACAGCAATGACCCTGGAGCGCTATGTGGCCGTTTGCAGGCCCCTGAGGCATGGAGAGCTGTGCTCAACTCGCAGAGCTCTGCACTGCGTCCTCATCATTCACAGCCTCAGCGCTATACCCTGCGTATTTATTCTTGCCGCCTTCTTTGCATCAGCGTCCCACAACTTCTATTCCCAGGGCAGAGAATGTGGTGTGGAAATTTTCACCTTTCACAAATGGCAGGGTCATCTTCGGTCAGCTGTAAGTCAGTTTTACTTCTTCATAATGTTCATTGCTATTGTATTCTGTTATGTTAAAATAATGAAAGTAGCCAAAGCTGCATCAGGAGAGGATAAAAAGTCAACAAGGAAAGGTCTCAAAACAGTAATTTTTCATGCTTTTCAGCTGTCGCTCTGTCTCTTCCATCTGTGGTGTCCATTCATAGAGGCTGCTGTATTTCAGATTAATTTAATATTATTTATTAATGTCAGGTATTTTAATTACATTGCTTTTATTCTCGCTCCAAGATGTATAAGTCCTCTTGTGTATGGCCTCAGGGATGAAATGTTTTTTCATGCACTAAAATACTATGCTCTCTGTGGCTTGTATAAGAAACAGTCGCCAAATGTACCTTGATTAATAAATATTTGTTTAAGTGTATCTTGCTTCATAATACAATAATATGTATGTACATAAAATATATGTGTGATTATATTACATTGATAGCCCCAGTTTCTTACAATACATTATAGTGACCCACACAACCTTCTTTTTGGTCTATTCACAACGTAGCAGTCTACTACTGGACCTTCAGACATCCAGACGACCTAAAATTGGACTAAGTATCTTTTCTTTAAACCAAACTAGTCCAAACCAAACATGGTAGTTTGATTTATCTCAGTTTTTTAGGGACTGGACTGACAGTTCTCTCTGTAGATTCTGCCATATTAGATTAAGTGACTTAGTGATAAGTGACTTCTAGCGTGCCCTCATATCTTTGCTAGGTTCGAACTGATCTAACTCTGTTTTGCTTTCTCTTCTGAAGTAAAGCTGACTTGAACCTTTGAAACTCTCAGGTTGTCAAAACAGCAGACTGTGAATGTTCACTCATTAGGGTGACAAAGTGGTTGTTGTTTTGCACTTTGGGAGTCAAGACAAGTAGGACAAGGACAAAGGTGTCTTCCGTGGGGGATTTCGGGGCGACTGAGTGCGGCGACTCTGACTGCTAATTTTAAATAATGTGTTTGACCCCTCTACCTGCTACTTGCAAGGCAGACCTGATCTCCGGCTTTGCTATCCAGCAGTCGCTTGACTTCCTCGATCTCACCGAGACCTGGATCACACCGGACAACACATCCACCCCAGCTGCTCTCTCCTTCAGCCACACACCCAGACCCATTGGCAGGGGTGGTGGCACAGATTTACTCATTTCACCCTAATGGAGCTTTTCTCTTTACCCCAGGGGTCAACAAACTCCGGGCCGCGGGCCACATCCGGCCGCACCCCCTCGCTGGCCATACCGTTCTTCGCCGGCCGGACCGTCAGCGCCCCACCCCGTCGACCATAATGGTCCGTCCCAGGTTCGGTCGAAGTGGGCCGTGCATCTGGCCCACACATTAAATGAGTTCGAGACCCCTTTCATCTTCCACCCCACTGTCTTTCAAATTCCATGCTGTGACAGTTACTCACCCGGTACAATTAAATATTGTGGTTCTCTACCGTCCCCCAGGACGTCGTACTAAAACACACACAGATAGAACTATACACAATTCACACTATATACAACTCCCATAGCACACCCTATGCTACTTGTTGTTACAGCCTACATGCGCAAAGTCTGCAACTTCTGTCAGAGCAACGGATTTTGCGAGACAGACGCGATGTGCGCTGAGGGGAGGGGTTGTGAATGTGTGTGTGTGTGTGTGTGTGTGTGTGTGTGTGTGTGTGTGCGCGCGTGTGTGTGTGTGTGACGCGTGTGTGTGACGCGTGAGTGACACAGACGGAGGGAGAGCAGGGAAAGAAATTTGCTGCGTGATCTAAATAGCGTTAAAAAATATATATATATACACCAAACGAATGTGTGGCGCACCTGCACAAATTAGTCTATATGTGGGAAACACTGCAATATGATCCTGTAGATACACGCTCTACAACATCAGGGGGATACGTCCCCTTCTCACTCAGAAGGCAGCGCAGGTACTGATTCAGGCTCTCCCGCCTTGACTTTTGTAACTCCCTCCTGGCAGGTCTCCCTGCCACTGCCATTCGACCTCTGCATCTGATCCAGAATGCAGCAGCTCGACTGGTCTTTAAACTCCCGAAATTCTCCCACACTACTCTGTACATGCGCTTCCAGTTCAAAACATTGCACTCCCTTGTTTATTGTTCTTTTTCTCTAAATGACATGTAGGCCTAATGTAACATCGAAAAGAGTAGTATATAACATATGTGGTATTTATACAGTAAAAAATAGTTAACAGTTAATTATATTCCAATGGATTTGAACTTCAATAAATAGCCAAACCTAACAGTTGTTTAAATGTATTACACAATATTTTAGATTCATCAAGTCTAAAAGAATCAATAAAATCATCATCATCATGACGTCAGCATTACCCTTGAAATCAACTTTATTTGATGAGACACTTTGAAAATATACTTTCAATAAATACATTTTGCAGCTTTTCAAAGCCCACTGCCATCATGGTGAGCTTTATGGCATAAGTATTTTATTTTCAGGCGTATGTAACCAAAAGGGTGGTTCCTCAGTGAGGTGGTGTGTATGCGCCACAGTAGTTGTCAACTCAAATACATTTAAAATACAATTTATTGCACACTGACTGTTTTAAACTGTAGTTTGTGATTCAAACTCAGTATAAAGACATTGTCTAAAATGACACACCACCACTACACCACTACAAGCTGCCTCCGGAGGCAGGCATCTGCTGTTACAGGCAAAATGCCACAGGGGCTCCCTGGGGATAAGGTAGTGTTTTGATACTACTATTATCCCGAGACTTGGCATCCAAGTGAAGGCTGAGCAGCCAGCTGCGAAACCAAGAGAACAGTTGAGGGCGCCCCCTGTCAGCCCACCCAATAGGCGAAGAAGGATGTATGGCAACCGTCTACCTCTTTAGAAGGGGAGAGGCTATAGGGAAGTCATCCACATGCGACGGGGCGACGGACAGCCCCACAGGGCCACACAATCGGTGTTAGTGCTCTGAGAAGGGCTACGGAGGTTTCACTCTGTATTCACCTTGAGGTCCGACCGAGCCACGTGAGAGGTAAGCAGTACCCTGTGCTGCCAGGCTGGCTGCAGTAGCACACCCTGTAAGGACCCGGGGAGAGGATCCGAATCCATTAGATCAGGGGTCTCAAACTCAAATCAGCTGCGGGCCAGATGCAGCCCACTTCAACCAAATGCGGGCCAGACTAGCGTCCGAACGGCATGGTCGACAATAACACAACTTAACACTCACTTTCAAAAGCAGTCATTGAACCCCACCCTGGGGGATCGGTCCGAATGAGACTACAACACTAGTCCTCCTTTAACTCAGCGGGGGAGACCTAAGGTCATGTGACCGTGGAATTCCTTTATAGCCAAACGTGAAGTTACGTGAATCGAAGCTGCGTAGTAATGGACGGAGACGCTCGTCGGTGACGTCAGATGCTTCATGTGTTGTTAGTGTGAGTCGTAAAGGAAAACTTTATTAAACGAGCGATGCTAACGGTTAGTCACATGATCACCTGCGCGAAAGAGGGCAGGAAACTGAATTTCACCCTCCTGCTCTCTGCACCTCGGCCGACACACACGACCCGCCCCCCATGTCAGTCACATGCATGCCACGTTCACTGGACAAGCACACAGTAGGAAACCAGAACATCATAACATGTCCCACACAGCAGCTGACAGTGGGGTTACAGTATAAAACTTGCGGGCCGCACTAACATTACACTTTCATATTAAGGATGGGGCCACAAAATATCGGCCCGAGGGCCGCAATTGGCCCGCGGGCCGCGAGTTTGAGACCCCTGCATTAGATAGTACTAGATTGTACCCTTGGGATAGGGTAAAAACCAGCCAGGAGTCTGATGCATGAACTGCCCAGTCTTCTGCTGGAAGGAATTACCAAAGGCTGGCCATGAGACCTCATTTATGGAGGTTTTTGGCAACGATTAGGCCCCAGGTTCGGCGGTTGCCTCGGGGGGAGGACATATGGTAGGGTTACATGGGTTGCAAGCTGGCCTCTAGGCAGCCTGTGGCAGTTACTGGTGTTAGCTGGGGGCCGAGGAGGGCCAAAGTGGAACCCCCTAGGTATGCTGGTATGTTCCTGACACAAAAAGCTCCTCAGCTACCACAGGGATATTATGGAGGATTCTCCTATATGTCTCTGACAGGGGTGACTGCGCTAGCCAAACCCAGCAGCGAGTCTGGAGCAGGGTGGTAATCGTACGTCCAGGTTCCCTCAATCTGAGGGCAAATACCTGCAGTGAAATAACCCTGAGGCCGGTGGCGGAAGCGCCAAAAGGTAGCCTGCTGCGGAAAAGCTGAGAGCGCAAGCATGAGGTGGAAAAGGGAGATGCCGAATAGGTTCACCACCCTGTTGTGTCATCAGCCTTCATGCTGAAGAGGAGCTATACAGGTCCTATAGCCTGGAGAGTTATCATGGCCTCTAGTTAATGCAGGCTTCCAATTAGCTTGAGCGAGGGCACTCCGGCCCTGCAGAAAGTAGGCCAAAAGACATTCCTAGCAGTGAGGAGGGAGCGAGGACACCAGTTAGCTTGAGTGAGAGCACTTCTGCTACTGTGGGAGCAGGCAGAAAATATCCTGTCTGTACAGTCAGAGCAGAGCGGGGACACACTTCACCAGGATATTTGCTGCAGATATCGGTGTCCCACCAGTTAGCTCGAGAGGGAGCACTTCTGCTAAGGTGAAAACAGGCTGAATAGCTGGTCCTCACAGTGAGAAACATTGCCAACCGACAGCTGCACTGTAAGGCAACAAAACAACTTTAAACGTGCTAGCAGGGCTCTCAACTTTTCAAAAAACATTGGAGTGACATTTTGTCAGGGGACAGCCGACGTGCGTGATAAATTGAATGTGTGGTGCGTGACTAGATACTGAAATGAGAGCCCTGGTGCTAGTGTTAATCTAGTCAACTAAGCACCACACCGGTTAGTCTGGGGGTTGACCGAGTCAACCAGTACCACATCTGTTAGCCTACAGTGTATGTCAGCTTTTGACCACAACTGTATATTATAAAGTGTTCAGCAAGATTGGGCAGGTGTCTATCTCTATAGTAATGTCAGCCTATATAGCTTGAAAATATAGCCAAATGTCCCTCCTTTAACAAGAGAAGGATATGTTGGGGCCTTATTAAGCCATTTTAAAGTGGCGGTAGGAGAGGTCATTGGTATTTTCACTGGGGGGCCAACAACAAGGAACTTTGGTTGATTTTATGTTTGACCTTATAGATCTTTGATTGCAACAAGTTGAGCACATTACATTTTGAAGGCACAAATGACTTGATTTTCTAAAATGTTTTGTAGAGGATGATTAAGTTTAACTTTGTTTATTAATCCTACAAAGCTGATCCAGCTCTCCAACACACAAAGGGATTAGTCGAAGTAACAAAGGCCAGAGGTGTGTTGTTAACAACAATTAGAAGATGACGACATTGTCTTATTTGGTGTTCCCTCTGCGTCATATCTGCTCCTATAAAGTCTTAATACACAATCCTCTCCCAGAAGACAGGACCGAACCCAGCAAAGGACCTTCATATATGGAGCTGTGCACTTCCATGTCCCACAAAAAGATTGTTTGGTAACCTGAAGCTATTATGTATGTCACATTTATTGTTGGTATTATATAATCATACTGGTGTGTGTAATCGGCTAAAATGTAAAGTTGTGAGGTTGTTATTTGGGTTGTTTGACTGAGGAAACGTCTGTATCCGCCTTGTACAAATATCTTTGATTTCAATGATAGTTTTTTTTTTCTTTCGAATTCTTAATTTTGATTTGTCATCAGAGCTACAGTAGGTTGATTGTGACAGTGTTTCAAACCCTTGGACAGCTTGCTATAGCTGAAGATTAAATGGCGGCCAATAACTCAGTGGTTGGTGTTGAATCTCCAACGTACAAGATTAACTATCGGTTAGTTGTTGTTCAGGTTTTTGTGTCAGTCTTTCTTTTCATCAACTTTTTGCTAATAAGAACTTTTTTTGTGAGAGACTTTTACACAACCATGCGGTACATCTTGTTCGCTACAACCCTGCTGTCTGACTCTTTATTTTTAATCATAACTGACATCCTGCTTATTTTCAGTTACATTAAGATTACCATGCA